CCCCCAAAAAAACCCAAACAACCACAAACCCACAAACCCAAAAACCCAAAAGGCCCCCCCCCCCCTGGCCCGCCGCCTCCTCCCCCAACCCCCCCCCCCCCCGGTTGCTGCCCCGCAGGTCAACTCGCTGGAGATGGAGATGCTGCGCATGATCTCCTTCTCCCTCTTTGTCCAGGGCGACCAGTACGAGCGCTACCGCGCCTCCCTCTACTCGCACGTCGGCCAGCCGCCTCCGCCCCACGCAGCAGCAGCAGCAGCCGGCGGCGGCGGCTGCATTTCTGCCGCCGCCGCCGGCGCAGCGCCGCCCGCGCCCGCGCCTGGCGGGGCCGCCGCAGCCGTCGCAGCCGCCGCAGCCGTACCCTCCTCCGCAGCCGGGGGGGCGCACGCCGGGATCGTCCCAGGCGGGGTCCCCGGCCCAGGCATGTCGTACGATGGAGGCGTCGCCGCGATGGTCGAGTGATGTGAATCGGGCTCATGTGCGTAGAATTGAGCCCTTTTCTTTTGAGAGAGATGATCTCCTCATTACTACAGCGGGCGGTGAGTCGTGTGTGGCGCGCGCGCGGCCGCGGGCGCGGCGCGGCGGGGCCGCGGCAGGCGGCACGCGCCGCACGGGCGGCGGGGCGCGCCATACTCGGACGCCTCTCCCCAAAGCCGTGAGGAAATCAGAACGGTACACACAGAGGCGCCGCCTCACGCCTTCTCCTTTTGCCTCTGCGAGGATCGCGTCGCCTCCACCTTTTGCGCCGCCAGCTGCGCGTCCTGCTGCACGAGTGGAGACACGAGCAGGTCCAGGCCCTGCTGCACCTCGGCGAGGTTGCGCTCCTTGGCGACATCGGCGTTCTTCTCCATCCGCTTGTCCCAGAACCGCTTCTCGCGCGCCGACTTGATCGCCTGCACCTTCTCCATCGCGCGCACCGTCTTCTTCATCAGGTCGCGGTCGTACTTGACCGGCCGGTTGCGCTGGCGCTCAAAGTCGAAGGAGGTGTCCATCGCCATCTCCTTGCCCGCGGCCCTGCGGAAGGCCTTCGTCCAGCGCAGCTTGCGCGGGTTGAGCTTGTTTTTGAACGTCTTGTGGCACTTGCCCCGGCAGAACCGGAACGTCTTGGCGTCGTTCCGCACAAAGGTGATGCCGTGGCCCGGGTAGCAGGGACCCGAGCACACATAGCACGTCTCGATGCGCATGGCGGCACCTGCCCGCGCGAGCTCTCGCTGCTCTCAAAACTGGGAGAGAGTGCGGATCGCGCTGCTGCGAAAGCCTCCCCAGCGTCCTCGTGGAACTACGCGCAGCACGCCGCAAAAAAGAAAAGACACCAAAAAAAGGAGGCACGCCGCCACGAAACAAAGGGATTTTAAGAAGAGGGGTGTGGTGCGCTAGCCGTCGCCCACCCTTGGGCGTCTTCCTCTTCCTATCTCTCCTCGCAGTCTCTCGCCGATTCTCGCAGCGACCTTCATGCCAGATGCCACCTCGGTCCTCGCGGTCTTCCCACTCTCGTCGTTCTCTCTCTTGTCGCTTCTTCCTCTGTCGCTTCGCTCCCCTCTGCCTCATTCTGCGACGACGCCGCTGCCTGCCGATCCCTTGCTCTCGCCTCTCGGCGTAACTCTGCCCACCCTCCTCGCGGCATATCCTGGCCCCTCGAGTTTATCGAGCTCTCCTCGCGCAAGGACGACTCTTCTGACGCCCACTGCTATCATTTGCCGCCAAAAGTCATATCGTTGCGGGTGGTGTCGTAGTGTCCGTGTCCACTAGCTCCGAGTAGAGGGGGCGTTCTGCAGTTTAAGGGGTAACCCGGTACACGGAGCCCTCTCGGAGACCCGTACTTTACGGCCCTTTCCCTGCGAACGCGCACCCCCGCCCCTAGCTAGGGGTCAGGGCTCTCTAGCCCGTAGCCCGATGCCGATCATCCGGCTCGCTGGGCGCGCTTCTTAGCTCCCCGGCCCTGGATGTGAGGTTGATGACTGCACTCCAAGTGCTCCAAGTTGCTCAGGTCCACTCTCTCTTCGGACACTTGTATCTCCACGGCTGATGCTGGCGCTGGGGTCCCCTTCGGGTGCATCGTGTTCGTGACAGCTGACGGCGGGATTTCCACTGGTTCGTCCTCCTCGGAGTCGTCTTCCCCGGCTTCCTCCCGTTCGACTCTACGTTCAGCACGTTCAGCGTGGCTCACCCTCCATGCCGTGAACAGGCGCTTTATCCACCCTATATTCTTCTCTCGTTCCTCTGCCCTAGCCTTGTTCTTGTCGTTGACGTTGTTTGTTTCGCATCCATGTCTGTATGGCAATCGAGGCTGCCTTCCCCACTACCTGTAGTTCTCTCGAACGCTGCAAGCTGGTGTGTACACGCCGAGGAATTTTCTTCTGCGCTAAACATTTTAAAGAAACACAAAACCCCAGAAAAACGCTCAGACGGCTTCGCCGATCGCGCTCGCGCCAACATCCACTGCCTCCTGCACCATTTCGCTCGCCGCCGCCAACCTCGCCGCCGCCAACCCCACCTACGTCTGGTGGGCCGCGCTCACGGCGGTCACAGCGTGCCACGCGCTCCTCTCGGTCCGCTTTGCTCGGAGGTCGGCGGGCGCCGTGCCGTCTTGGGCGCTTGGCTATGTTGTCGTCTTCTCGGTCGCGGCCTTCGTCCGCAGTGCCTTCGTGGTGCGCTGGTCGTCGCGGCCGCACGCGTGCCTCTTTGACACACCATGTGTGACTCGCCACTCGCGCAGCGCTCAGCACACCAGCGCTAAACCGACACGGCTCGCGCTCGCCTGTGTAGACCGCGTGCTCGGGAGCGACCTGTTCGACCGGCTCGTCGCCAACTGCGCGGAGGTGAGCTTCGGCGCGCTCATCGCCGAAGTGAGCGGCTTCCACCTCGACATACTCGGCCTGCGTTGGCTGCCTGCCGTGGCGCGGCTGTGTGCGTGGCCGATCGTGCTCGCGCAGGCGTGTTGCTGGACGGGCGAGATCTCGGACAACAAGCTGTGGCACGTGGTGGAGGAGAGCCTTTGGGGCGGCACCTTCGCTCTCCACACCGCCCTAGCCTGCGCAGCCCTCCTGCAGCCGGCCGACGGGAAGGCTCCCTCCTCCCTCCGCCCTCCTCCCACTCCACCCTCCTCTCCTCCTCTCCTCTTCCTCCCTCTTCGCTTCCTCCCTCCTCCTCCTCCTCTCTTCCTCCCTCCTCGTCTCCTCCGTCTCCCCCTCTCGTCCTCCCCCTCCTCCTCCTCCCTCCCCTCCCTCCCCTCCCCCTCGCCGCACCATCGCGTGCGCCTCCCTCCTCCCCTCAGGCAGCCGCCGCCTCTCGCAGCTACCTCCTCGCCATCGCCTTCCTCTCCGCAGCATACGTCTACTTCATGATCGCTGTCGACATCCCGATGTACTACGCCCAGTGGCGGGCGGACGAGGCGCGCGGCGTCGAGTACGACTCGGCCGCCAAAGGTGCTCCCCCCCTCCCCCCCTCCCCCCCCCCCCTCGCGCCCACCCCTCCTCCCTCCTCCCTCCCTCTCCGCCAAGTGGCGAGACGGCGAGGAGGACGAAAGGAGGACCGGGGAGGCGCCGCCTCCCTCTGAGCCCGCACACTCTCTCTCCAGGCCTCGGCAGGATGTGCCGCTGCCAGCACGTCGCCGACGACTGGCAGGGGTGGAGCGAGGACGCAACTTGGGAGGCGCTCTACTTTGGGGTGGGCCCTCTGCTCGCCAGCTGGGCAGCGCGCACCCTGACACACCCCGCTCGCACGGCACTCGCCGCCCGCTCTCCCCGCGAGAGCCGGCCGCCTCGTTCCGCGTAGCGGCCCGCCCGCTTGCCTTGCTCCCGCCCGCCTGCCGCGCCGAGGCTCGCCTGTACCTGGCCTGTACCCTCATGTATGTTCCATGGCCCATGGCTCTGCCGTGAGCGGCGCGTCGCCGAGAGCGGACGCGGCTGCCGTCAAGCCGTGAGGCGTCAGCTGATACCCTCACTGTGCACACCGACGGCTTTGGGGTCGTCGCCGCGTTGCGGCGTCCGGCGCGACGCTCCGTCCTCCGCGCCCTGTCCGCGCCGGCCCTGCCCGCAGGCCCGCAGGCCCCGCTGCCGCGCCTGGCGCCCCCCTGGCCTGCGCCCTAGCTTGGGCGAGCCTGGGGGTGGCGGGTGGCCTTCATCGACATCGTCTCTGGTCGCATCCCTGCTCTAGCGGAAATTTTCTGTGTATCGTGAATGATCGTCGAGTATCGCCTAATATCGCGCAATATCGCGCAATATTGCGCAATATCGCGCAATATCGCGCAATATCGCGCAATATCGCGCAATATCGCGCAATATCGCGCACCCTGCCCTCGCCCCGGCGGCGGTGACGGTGACTGAAAGAAGCATTTCTTTGTTTTCCGGTCGCGCTTTCCCGCCCCGGCGCCGCCCACCCGCACCTCTCTCGCACTTTTGGCGCCCAGGACTGACACGTGTAACGCTTCACGCGCGTCGCTGAGGCGTGCTGTGAAGGGCTCGCGTGATCGCGAGCATCGCACAACATCGCCATTTATCGCATTTTATCGCCAAATATCGCGCGGTATCGCGGTTGCGATATTGCATATTGAATTAAATACGATATTGTGAAAAATTTTCGCTAGGGCAGGGCTGGTCGCGGACGTTTTTCGTTGTGTCGCGCTGGTGCGCCGGCGCTCATCGTGTGTTTCGTACAGAAAATCCATGGTCGACGAACGGCCGGTTCAAAGCCACTAAGCCACTCTCTGGAAGCACAGCCACGGGGCGGCTCAGCCGCCGCCGAGCCAAGACGCAAGAGCGGCGTGGTGTACATAAAGGAGCGGCACAACTGAACAGGAGGATATCACATCGACGGGACGAGCAGGTGCTTCTTCGCGTTGCGCGGCCGCACGTTGAACGCGGCGAAGTTGCCCGGGACCTCCACACCAAACTGAGGTGCAGCAAGCACGGGTGAGTGGGTGGGGCGCGTGGGTGCGGACCGGTCACGAGGCGCTCGCCTGAGCAGCCCGCTTGCGGACCTGGTGCGCGGCAGCTCGGCGGTACTTCCAGTTCATCTTGAGCAGCATCGCCTCGGTCTGAGCGGTGAGCAGCACCGACTGCGCCGACGGAGAGGCGGGCGGCCCTCAGCAGAGGCGGCTGGGGCAGAGGGCTTGGCAGAGGGGGGAGCGGCGACGACGAGACGATGACCGGGTGGGTTGGCGGCGGGGTTGTGCCTTGACGCTCTCCGCCGAGTCTGCGCGCTGGATAAGCTTGGACAGCTTGGGGCGATAGACAGTCTTGTCCTTTGGTGGATTCTTGCCGCCGTTGCCGCCCTTGCCGCCGTTGCAGGCCATGACGGGGCCGGCAGCGACGCGCGCGCTGGACGACACGGTGGTGGGGGCCACAACCAGCGCCGAAACCGCACCAACGACGAGCGCAAGCACCAAGCAAGAGCAGCGCACCATTGTTCTCGCCGGTGCACGGATCTCCAAGAGCCTCCAGGCGAGCTAAGAAAAATCAGATCGCTGCCGGCGGAGCGTCGCCCATCTCTCCTGGAGATGACTGCTCTCTTTATTTATTTAGCATGGCGCATCCCTGTGTGGTGGCGGCGTGCCGTCCTCCCTACCTCCCATCCCTCCCGCGAGCCTGTTTTCTTTCTTTCTTTAGCATTCCCCTGGATTGTGTCCTTTATTTCTTTTTTTGCTCCAACTAGGTACAAGGTAGGCGTAGGGGGCGCCCGTAGTGCGTAGGCGTAGGTCGTAGCAGCGAAGGTAGCGGAGAGAAGCGGAGAGAAGAGTAGAGAGTACGTACGTGCGTCGTGCGTGAGAGTAGCGGAGAGAGTGTGTTTTGTGTTTTTCTTTTTGAATGTTGAAGCGGTAGGACTACGACTAGGAGTCGTTCAGAGAGAGAGACTCGGGAGGATCGTCAAGTCTCAACAGACAACACGTCAACGGTATAGGTCTCACATAAAGTCTTATTTGTTATTTAAAGTGATAGCTGATAGGACTGATAGGAGATAGCGTGAAAATTGGAAAGGACAAAGGTTTTGATGAACACATAGGAAACGCGGAGCAACAGCCGACAGCGTGAGCGACTCCTTAGACTCTCTGACTTACACCGCACGCCGCACGCGGAGGTGTGCAGCGGTGCCAAGATGTGCCATCGTTCGACATTCGTCGGGTCGCCGCTACAGCAGCAGAGCGGCCGGCGCGTGCGCCGGGTCCTCTAACCGGCGGCGGCGGCGCCACACAGCGGCAGCGAGCGCAGCGACCGCAAGCAGGGCGCACGCCGCGGCGGCCGTCTGCGCCCGTACCTCGACCTCCGCTCGAGAGGCGGGCCGCTCCTCCGCCGCGAGCGAGCCGGCGGCGTCGCGGCGCGCGCCCCAGAAGCTCCAGTCGTAGTTTGAGAGCGTGCCGATGGCAGCCTCGCCAAGCCCGGACCCGATGTTGGTGCTGCTGTTGACGAGGCTGCTCGCCGAGCTGAAGCCGGAGGAGACGGCCCACTGCACGTCCGCGAGGTCAATGGCGGGTGCAAAGGGCGGCCACGGCTGGGAGGGCGGCGGAGGAGGCGTTGGCGGAGGCGGCGGCGCCGCCGGCGGCGGCGAGGGCGGCTGCGGCGGCGACGGCGGAGCGGTGCAGCAGTGGTCCCAGCAGCCGTTCCAGGCGACCGCCATGTAGGAAGAGATGCAGGCGCTCTGGCAGGAGCGGGACGTGGCCTCGAATCCGGGGCACGGCCGTGCGAGCGGGTTCATCTGCGCGAGCGGTCCTCCCGCCTGGGCGAGCCCGTTCACTAGCGCTGCGCCCGGAAGCAGCGTCGTGGACGCTGCGCCCGCCAGCCCTATGCTGCCTGTGAGTGCGTTGACGCCGAGCCCGAGCCCCGAAGCCTCGAGGCCCGAGGCCGCGCGCTCGACGCAGCAGATGTCCCAGCACCCCAGCTGCACGACCTCGTCGTTCAGCGTCTTGGCGGTGCAGTCGCTGAAGCAGCCGGAGCACTGAGGGTAGAATGCTGCGGCGGCACCAGGCCGGCCCGGCACCTCGTAGGCGTATGAGCTCTCCGCCGCAGCCGCCGCGGCGGCCGCGCCGTCCTCGGTCGCCGAGGTGTTCGCGCGGGAGGCCCACCAGCCGACGATCGCTGCCGCTGCCATGGCGTCGACAGAGACGCTTCTCCCGTCGCCGCTTCCTTAGGCGCGAAAAGAATTTTTTCGCCCGACCTCCCTGCGAGGGGTGGCGACACGATCCAATGCCGCCGTCCTCGCCCGGGGCGACCCCGGCCGGGCCGTCGACGCTCTCGGAGGCTGCGGTACCAGTCGAAGGCGAAGCGGAGTCGAGGCCTCAGCCGAGGAAGAGGCATCAGAAACGGCTACAGAGGCAGTCTGGTAACGCCCGGAAGGCGAGCAAGGGACCGGGACGAGCCGAGGGCTCGCCCTGACGGGCGAAGGAAGGGACCCTGGGACCGGAGTCGGGCGGGCGCACATGAGGGATGTCCGTGTACGTGCGTGGAGTACAGTGTTGTGTGTCCGTTAGCTCCGAGTAGAGGGGGCGTTCTGCAGTTAAGGGGAAACCCGGTACACGGAACTAACCCTCGGAGACCCGTGTTTACTTTAAGGCCCTTGCCCTGCGAATGCGCACCCCCCCTAGCTAGGGGTCAGGGCTCTCTAGCCCGTAGCCCGATGCCGATCATCCGGCTCGCTGGGTGCGCTTCTCAGCTCCCCGGCCCTGATGTGAGGTTGATGACTGCACTCCAAGTGCTCCAAGTGCGGCCCGGGTCAGGGCTAGCTCCCTGATCGCCGCCGCTACGGCGGCGGCGGCGGCCGACGGCCGACGGCCGATGGCCGACGGCCGACGGCCGACGGCCGTCGGCAGACGGCAGACGGCATACGGCCTAGGGCTCGGCTGGGCGCGCACGCGCACGCGCGCGCGTCGCGCGCCACGCGTCGCTCCGCGAGGGCGCGCGCCAACCGCGATTCGAACCGGGGCCAAAAGGCGCCTGGAGCGACCGCGGTCCGGTCGCGCCACCGCGGCTGCGGGGCTGATAGAGCAGGCCGGCTGCGGCTCCTAATGTACCTCCGCTTTTGGGTGGCGGTCGCGCGCTGCCGACGGCGCTCGCCCGCGCTACGCGCTCGTGGCGTTCAGGGCGGCTCCACACGCACACGCACACACACACACACACACACACACACACACACACACACACACACACACACACACACACACACACACACACACACACACATGCACAGACACACAGCCCCTTCCCCTCCCCCCTCAAGGGCGAGGACACGCACAGGCCGCACCTCTAGTGAGGCCCGCATAGTATGTGGGAGACTCGTGCCGCCGCCCCTGCCACCCCTGTGTCAGTGTGCCTGTGTGGTAGCGAGAGACTGCCAGCGACAAGCTGGAGGCAGGTCGCTAGACTGAGATGAGACCGCCAGTGGATGTGGGAGTCCACCGCGCACCGCGCTGCGAGCCTGTCGTGTCCCTTGTCAGGAGCAGGAGAGCCCACCTGTCCCCCTGATCGTCCTTCCAAAATCCTGCTCGTGCAGGTGGGGACCCTGTCCTCGTCCCATCCCTCGTTTGGCGTGTCTGTTTTCTTTCTTTCTTTTTTAGCTCCCTGATCGTCCTTACAAGATCCTGCTCGCGCAGGTGGGGACCCTGTCCTTCTCCCACCCCTTGTTTGGTGTGTCCGTTTTATTTCTTTCTTTAGGGCTCTCTAGCCCGTAGCCCGATGCCAATCATCCGGCCCGCTGGGTGTGCTTCTTAGCCCCCCGGCCCTGGATGTGCGGTTACCGACTGCACTCCAAGTGCTCCAAGGTACGTATTCTCGTATCACTAGCTCCGACCGAGTAGAGGGGGCGTTCTGCAGTTAAGGGAAAACCTGGTACACGGAACCAACCCTCGGAGAGTATTCTTTAGCTCCGAGTAGAGGGGGCGTTCCGCAGCTAGGGGGACCCACAGCGCGAGGGAAAAATTCCGCCGCTGGGGGAAACCCGGAGGAGCGCAGAACTAACCCTCGGAGACCCGTGTTATGGCCCTGCGACCGCGCACCCCCCCTAGGGGTCAGGGCTCTCTAGCCCGTAGCCCGATGCCAATCATCCGGCCCGCTGGGTGCGCTTCTTAGCTCCCCGGCCCTGGATGTGCGGTTACCGACTGCACTCCAAGTGCTCCAAGGTTAGCTCAGCGTGTCATTGCAGGAGCATCGGAGAACCCCCACTGTGCCCCGATGACTCGGTGCGGCCCCCGGATCCGGCGTCCGCCCGCTTCCAAAAATCCTGCGTCGTGGCAGGTTGGGGGACCCTGTCGGCTGTCCTCCTCCTCTCCGCATCCCTCATTTGGGGGTCTCTGTTTTTTTCTCTTTTTCGCACTGGCAGAAAACAGGCAGACGCCCAAGGGTGGGCGACGGCTACACCAGCAGTCACCACCCACGTCGCCTCTCTCGTCTCTGCACCGCTTCCCCCGCTGGCGGCCCGCCCGCGCGCGGCTCTCCGCTCTCCTTAAAAAACTTAAACCGCGGTGGCGGTCCGCGGATCCCCTGCTCGCTGCTCCCTGGTGTGGGGGGCGGCGTGCACGGTCCTCCAGCGTCCTCCCTACTCCCATCCTCCCTTGGGTTGTCTGTTTTCTTTCTTTCTTTTTCTCACACTGGCACTGCCAGGTGCCGCGTGAGCTTCGCGAGCCAGTCCGTCTCCTCGCCGCCAACCTCCGCTGCGGGCACCGGCTGCATCGTCTGCACCCGCTGGAAAGAGCCGGCGCGCCGGGGCAACCTGCGGCTCGGGACACCGGCGGCAGCGGCCACGAGGTGGTGCAAGACGGCCGCGCTAGCGAGCACAAGACCGCATGCGGCGAGGAGCGCGCCAGGCAGGCCCGACAGCAGGCCCGCGGCCAGGCCGCCGTCACCCACGCGAGGGGAGAGCGCCGCGTCTGTCCAACCACCGTACTCCTCCGACCAAAAGCGCGCCAAGTCGCCGGCCGTCTCGGCCCCGCGCAGCTCCTCGGGCCAGGCGCCACCGCTCCAGGCGCCACCGAGCGCGCCGATGCCGACGGCCTGCTGTAAAACTGGCGGCACGATGTGGTGCTCTCGCGGCGCGGGCCCCGGCGAGGCGAGCGAGGCGATGGCGTCGAGGACGGCGCGAGTGCGAGGGCCTGTGATGGACACCTCGTGGTGGTTGTAGGTGTCCACAGGGAGAACGTCCATCACGAGGAGCGCGCCCGTCGTCGAAATCTCTGCCACGAGGAACCGGGCCTCCCACAGCCGCGCCACGCCAAACGACGGGCCGAGCGCCGCGGCGAGTGAAAGCCTCCACTGCTCTGCCGCATGCTCGAGCGGAGGCACGAGGGGGGGTTCGACCCGAACCTGCAGGCGCGCAACCTCGAGCACTGTCCCAGCCCCATCGCCAGACTTTGGCATCGCGGGCGCATCTGGCGTCCAGAGCAGACCAAAGGGTGTGCTGCAGCTCGTGCTCGCGTTGCTCTCTGACGCGTTGCTCTGTGGCGAGCCAACGCACACGCGCAGCCAGCAGCCCGAGGCGCATCGCACCCCAGCGACTTCGGCGGAGCCGCCTGTCTGCCACCGCAGCGGCTGGCCCACCCGCCACCATGCATCCGCGGCGGCCCCGTGCCGCCTCAAGTGCAAGCTTGTGTACTCCACACTGCAGCTGCCCATCGAGATCAGCACGCTGGCAGAAGAGGAAGCGTTGGCGCGGATCGAGCAGGGGAGATCCATCACGCAGTGCGCGTAAACCCGGGCCGGTGCCCGTCGGCGTTCGTTGCCACGGAAATGCCTCGAGCAGGAAAAAAAATCGCAAGTGAAGACCAAGGGCCCTCGGTCTTGCTGCTCGGTGTCGAACTCTGTGCGAGCGACACTTCGAAACACTGTTCACACCGAGGCAGGAGGGCTGCGGCGACAAGCACGCGCTCCGCAGGCTTCCGGGTTTTGCAGAGAATTTGCTTCACGACGCGCTCGGCACAGGCTGGTGATTGCCATGGATGAGAGCGAGACTAGCGGCGCTGCCAAGCGCCAGGTCTTTGTCAGGTGCAACGGGCGCGCGCTGCGCACAACCGTCGCCGCGCTGACATCCTTTTTCGAATCGTGTGGCAAGCCGACTGCGATACTGAACAAGTGGGGTGAGGAGCCCGTGGGAGGTGCCATCTATGAGGTGGCTCTGGTGACGTTCAAGAAGAACAAGGCGTGCGAGAAGGCGATCGCGCTCTCGGGCGGTGACTTGGACGGGCGCCCGCTTGTCATCGGCCTTAACACGAAGCCACCCGCCCGGCGCGGGGTGGCGTGTGGGTCGTGCCGCGTCTTCGTGGGCAATCTCGCCTTCGAGGCCGACGACGCGGCGGTACGCGCGCACTTTGCAAGCTGCGGAAGCGTACAGTTCGTCCGCTTTGCTACGAAGACGGGCGCCGATGGCGAGCGGCAGGCTGGGTATGCGTTTGTGATCTTCTCGGACCCCGATGGGCGGGCCGCCGCCGTGGACGCAGCGCTGGCGCTTGACGGCACGACGCTCTGTGACCGCGCCATATCGGTCGCACCGGCCGTGCAACAGCCAAAGCGCAACGCAACGAAGGGTCAGGGCCGTCGCAAATCAAGCGGGCAGCCAGGAGGCGATGGCGGGGGCGAGACGAAACGTCTCCGGCCGGCGGCTTGGCGGCATGATCCGAAAACGGGACTGACAGCGCCACGACCCAAAAAGGGCGCGTGGCAGCGTGACAGGTAAGGGACCGAGAGACGCGGTTGCCACCGCGAGGCCTCTCGTGGGCGGCGGGCCGGCGTAGAGTCAGAAGAGTACCCGGTCTAGGCCGAGAGCTGTCCCGCGAGTTGTGTGATTCGTGTGGCGTTGTGGGCCATGCGCATCCAGACAACCATGCTTCAACTATAAATATGCAACTGCGTCAGTCGGGGTAGGTGTGTGTGTAAGGGATGACGCTGAGCCCGTGTCTCCCCCGCGCCGGCCGCCGCGCGTCGCGCTGGCGGCGTGGCGCACTGGCCACTGCCCACTGCCAGTGCCACTGGACGCGGTTCCGACGCCTGCGACGTAATTTCGTGCTCTCTGGTGCACATCTCTCGCAAGGATTGGGACGGGAGCGGAGAGGATCGGGGCGTGGCGTGCGCGGATGCCTGAGCGCCGAACCCCAACCCGGACCCGCCCTCTCCAGTCTCCTCTCCGAGCAAACTCAGTGGCCTGCGCGTTCCGGCGTTGGCTTGAACTAGCCCATACCGACCGCGCTGGAAGCGGCCAGAGCGTCAGCAAGGCGCTTCAACGTAGGCATGTCCGCCGCCCGCTGCACCCGCCGCCACGGGCAGCGCGTCCAAAGGTGATGGAGATCTGCTCCATGGCATCGAGTGGCAGAGAGGAGGCTTGCTCGGCGTGTATGTGCGAGCTGCCCTGCACGGCTTTGACGCCCAGCTCGTGCGGAGGGCGAATGCGATGAGTCCAAGCGAAAGGGCGGCGGCGAAGACGGCGAGGAGCGCCTCAGACAAGCCGAGTCGCGGCAAGCCCGAGCCCGATGGCGCCGATCTCGACGCTGGGCTCGGTGGTCCAGGGGGGGCCTCAGACGTGCTCTGCAGGACGTCATCGTAGCCGTCGCTAGCGGCGGCGGCGGTGGCGACTGCAGCGACTCGAAACTGCTCCTGCAGCAACCAGGCGCCCTCCCCCCTGTGGGGCGTCGCTGTGGCTGTGCCCGCCCGCATCCCCGTGGGTGGCGTTTGCGACGGCAGCTCGAACCACGTTCCTGAGAAGGGAGGGGCACACCCCGCTGCCTTTGGCTCGCGCACGGCGTCGCGCACCACCCAGACGACGTCTTCCACCGCGCCTCCAGTCTTGGGCTCGTCGCGGCCAAAGGAGAGCGGGCCGAGCGCGACGCTCTCGCATAGCGGGCTCAGGTCGATGTGGTCGGGCGCATACTGCGTCTCGCACGCCGTCCGCGACCAGTTGAAGATGGCGTGTGTGGCGTTGATGAGAGTGAGCCCCCCCACGCCAAAGGAGCCCTCCCGGAAGGCGGACCAGTCTGGAGCAGGGTGGAGCCACGGCAGGGTGGTGCCCTCGCGGTTCCCGCCGTCGCCCAGGTTGAGGTGCACGGGGCCGCAGCGGTTGGGCCGCCGCTCGTGCATCGGATGCGTGCGCTCGAAGGCGTGAACGTGCCCCGCGAGGACTACGTCCACCCCCGCCGCGTACAGCAGTCCCTCCATGGACGCGCGCATGCCCGCCGCCTCGTCGACGTGCGCCGAGTTGGAGTGGTAGAACGGGACGTGCAGGGTGACGATGAGCCATGGAGTGCGCGTGCGGTTGACCTGTGCCATGTCTCGCAGGAGCCACTCGTACTGCAAAGAGCCGGGGTGGTAGGCGCAGTACGAACAGAGCGAGGTCAGGTGCGCCGGCCCCACCTCTCGCGACCACCACAGGTTTGAGCGCGAGTTGCTCTCCCGGTGCGGCATCGGGTAGCGCGCATTGTACCCGATCCACGCCTCGCCGTAGGAGACCTCGTGGTTGCCACCCGCCGTCATAACGGGGTGTGAAGCGGCCAGCGGCTCCAGCATCCTCGAAAACGAATCCCATCGCGAGTGCCACCCGTCGGCGTAGGCGAGGTCTCCCGCTATGATGACGACGCCGGCATGCACCGGCGCTCCAGCCATCATGCGACGCAGTTTGGACACGCTGGCCTCACTCGCCGCGGTCTGGCCTAGGTCGGCCGTGAGGCCGAATAGGAGGGGGTACGCCTCGCCGGCGGCCGGCGGCATTCGGAACCGGAACTCGCGATCATCGCCCGCAACGGAGTAGGCATACTCGGCGCCAGAGGCGAGGGGCTTGAGCACGACGGTGTGGATGGAGGGGGCGTCGTAGAACATGGCAGGGTTGTTGTACATGCCGAGGCCGTACGCAACGCCGTCGTCCGCGTCGACCTTCGGCGGGCGCGCAGCTGGCTGGCTCGCGTTCTGCAGCCGCCTCAACATGGCAGCGTCTGCCCCGGCGCGACCGACTATGGGCATGGTGAGCATGGGCTCGACGTACTGGAGCGCAGCGTACGTGGACGCGGAGCCCCGCGCGACCTGCTGAGCCGTCTCGCCCACGGCCCACCAGCGCACCTCGCTGGGTGTCTCGCGGTTCAGCGTCGTGAAGACGACGACCATCTCGTCGGCACCCCCAAGAGACAGGTGGACCTGCTCGCTGCACCGATCCGAGGCGCACGCAGAGTTGGGCGGCCAGTGCGACTCGGACAGCGTGCGAGACCTGCGCCCTGTAGCCGCTCCCAGGAGCAGCACGAGCCAGGGCGCCATCGTGCAATCTCCCCCTGGCGCTCCACGACGCGACGGTTGACCGACGGGCGATACACGCGCCTTTTTTTCAACAATTTTGCCCGGATTTCTTCTTGCCGTCAGGTGGTCGGACGCTCGACCACTCGACTGGAGAGGGATGGGTCAAAGACCACGCGTATGGAGACGGGTGGGTCAAGAAGAATGCAGGCTGGAAATATGCTATATGGGGGCGCAGTACTACGAACGACGCGAAGTGGGTCAAGATCTCAAGAAAGAAAGCCATAACGCGGCTGGTGCTCGTGGAAACTTTGGGTGGCATTGCGCCGCCTACCAAGCAGTTCACCCACGTGTTCGCCAAGGAAGCGGCAGGCACCAACACCTTCGAACACTGACGCAACACGGACCGGACCACCGGACGGTGTATGGAGCGGCGTCGGCGAGCGAGCGCCTCCTCCTTTGAGTGAGCTTTCTTTGTCGTCCACCACACGCAGCAGATCTCCATGGGCATGGCGGCGGTGGCGGGCGACGCCGACAACATCAACAAGCAGGCGCGCAAGAGCCAAAGACGCGTACCAACTAACTGGCTCAAATCCCCTGAATGTGCCAACTGGGTCAAGCAAGAACAAGCAAGCGGCAGACGTCCTCCTACCCACCCTCGGCCCCAGACAGAGCCCAGTGGGTGGGGGGCGCCCACGGCCCACCCACGCCGCCTAGCTCTGCGGACGGGCCTTCCCGCCTCCCCGGGGCGTACGTGGTACGTACGGATCATGTAGTTCACACAATCGCAACGACAAACAATCGCTGTCGTGGGATCGCTTGTCAGAGAGAGGCGGCTGTTTAGATTTGTTTCCTTGCAGCACTTGCGACTTGGAAAAATCCGGTTTCTCTTCTAGATTCTTCTTGCTTTGAGGACGACGGCGCCTTTTAAGGGGCCGTCGCCGGCTGTGCCTCTTTACACACACACATACACACTGCCTCTTTGGGTAGCTGTGTCGAACCTGTGCCCGGTGCGTGTGCGTCAGTTGTGAATTCTTGCCTGAGGTTGCTCTAGCCGGCTCCACATTACCGGCGACGGGCGGGAAAGGGAAGTCGCACTGCCGCCGCCGCTGAAGGATGCCAGGCGGAAAACACGCCAATATGATGGCCTGGGCGCCCGAGGAAGACCAAGTCATCCTCGACATGGCGCGCCTTCGTATGCCGCCACACGGGCACGGCTCGTGCTCCAACCTCCACCCTCTTTGGAACAGGTGCAGCAGGAGGGACCAAAATGGTCGCGCATCGTCCAGCAGCTTCCCGGTCGTACGGTCTCATCCGTCCGCAACCGCTGGCGCGCGCAGCTGGCCCTCCGCGCGCCGTCCTGGCGCCCGGCCGACACCCGCCTCGGTGCCGCACACAGGCAGCGGATCGAAAAGGGGCGGAAGCTGCGCGAGGCTGGGATAGAGTCCAAGAATCGGTGCCACGCGTGCGGCGAGCCGAAGCGCGGGCACATCTGCTACCAGAAGCTGCGCGGCGGTCCTCAGGTAGAGTTGCGCTCGCCGGTGCGGCAGGGAGAGGGGGGAGAGGGGAGGGGGTTGGGGTTCGGGCTGCCATTCGAGGCGCAGGACCGCGGGGAGGCCTCGCCTCCGGAGCCCTGCGTCGTATCACCCGCCTTGCGTCGCGTTTCGCTGCGCGTGAGCCGGGCGGGGCGTGAGAGGCGGAGGGGCGCGACCACAAGAGGGGCGCGACCGGGGGGGGGGCCGGCCCGGCACACGGAGCTGGCCCTACCGCCCGCCTCACCCGCACGTGGCGGCCGCACCTCAGGCGCCGATGGGCATCGGCGGGGTGAGACGCGTCAACCCCGAGGCCTTGCGCCACATGTACCCGCAGATGGGGCGAGCCCCGCCCCCCCCGAGGACCGGTGGGCGGTATTTGGTTGGGGTAGAATTTATTCATCAATTGCGTTTTAAATAATGCCTCTTTTGGTCTCCACCCTCTGGAGGTAAACAGCTTTTTGC